AAGATCCAAACATGGTCCATTATAAGATTTCTTACAGAGGCAGTCAGGTTTAGATTTTTTATCTGTTGGTATTTGATAGAATCCATGAAGCCATGTATCTGAACAAGACGTCCAGGACCTCCGGCAGAAAAACAGGCCCACAACATTAAAGATCCAGCAGTATATTTAACCGTGGGCATGGGGTACTTTTTATCCCTGTGTGCACCAAACCCATCTGGTGGGTTTGCTGCCAGAAAGCTTTTTTTTATGTTTCATCTGACCATAGAAGCCAGTCCCGTTCGAAGTTCCAGTCGTGTCTGATAACAGAATATGCTGGAGATTGTTTTTGGATGAGCCAGGAGTTTTTACTTAAAACCCATTTGAACCACATGTTGTAATGTAGGGGTGATGTAGGGACGGTTTGATATTTTTTAGGCTTTCTGACCCCAAGATTCAACTACTCTCTGCAATTCTCCAGCTGTGATCCTTGGAGAGTCTTTGGCCACTCAAACTCTCCTCCTCACCGTGCATTATATATCGTGCGATATAGACACACGTCCTCTTCCAGGCAGATTTGTAACATCTTTAGTTGATTGGAACCTCTTAATTACTGCCCTGATGGTGGAAATAGGGATTTTCAATGCTTTAGCTAGTTTCTTACAGCCACTTTCTATTTTGTGAAGCTCATATGATCATATTTACCAAGGGTGCCAATATTAGTGGGCGGCACTGTATATATATATATATTTTTTAATTATGATCAAGATGTGTCATGTATTAAAGGAAATGTTTAAACATTATCTTTTTACTTGATGGTTACACCACATTATGTTAATTAAATTTGAAACTTTTCTTGGTATAATTTTTCAAAAGTATATAAAACGGCATCAATAAAAGAGTACAATTCTTACCACAGAACTTAGCATGTGTTTTAAACTATATTCTAAACAAAATTCCTTATCGTGTTCCTATATGTCATTGTCCCTATAATTCTCAGTAAGAGTAAGTGTTCTTTTGTTTGCACATAACACGTTCTGACACAATTTTTGTCCTTTTGTCTTTTCCCCAGTCTATATATGAGAGATGGTTTACTAGCCTCTACACATTAACATACAGATCTTTGCCTGTGTCTGGGAATTTGCACTGTCAAAGTAACTTGATTCACAAACCCATTTGATCGACGGCCACAGTATTTACATTAGATGACATGAAGCATCTATGCAAAAACTGAATCAAGAAACTCATCCCAGTGTGGAAATTTGGTTTCTGGTTTCTCCTGTCTTTTCTAGGTTACAAGACCACGTATATTGTAGCATCATTATTTTAGTGTAGTTCTTTTTATATGGTGTCTTGCTCAAGGGAAAGGTTTTAGAAAGGTAATCACCAAGAGTTGGGTTCCCCTGCAGCGCCCCCAAAGGACAGGAGAGTTACAGCAGATTGTCTGAAGAAAGAAGAAGAGAAATGGTGGTATTATTAATTATATTGATAATTAATGATTTTTCAAACTCATGTAACATGGTTAAAGGTCAAGCCAAGGATGTTGCATTGTGGAATATAGTATTCCTTACAGTGATTGTTCCTTACTGCACATTCAGGCAAATCTGGTCCATGTATGCCGAATATTTGCATACTGTGCACAGTGTTCACACTGCATATGCAATATAATACGAATGCTATTCTGAACACATGCAACCATGCTCTTTCCATGAATTATAGAACATCCCACTGATTCAATAATAGCACACCCTTTATGCTGTTTTGACAATAAATGACTCCTCTCCTGCAGGATGTTTTGATGAAAAACAGATTGTTTTATTTAGTCATACTTTGACATAATATTTTCCAGTGATATTTTTTTTAAAGTTTTGCTAACATCCCCACTAAGTTATGAAAATGTTGTTTTTTCTGTTCTCTGAATATTAAAGATGTCCAGTTTTAAAATGTTGTAAAAATGAAATGTTATGGTGACATTATTTTATTGTTTATCATTGTTATCAATTTACTTTTGAATGTTCTTTGAATGTTCTTAAAAAACAATAAATGAGCTTCCAGCTAAAATGTTTTTTAAAAAAAACTTTTCGTGATCGATGTATAAATAAAGTTCTTCTGCTAATGTTTTAAAACATTGTTAAAGATACAAATGAACAGAACAAAAGTTCTGTCAAAATTACTGGAAGAATGTTAGACAAAGTTCTGAGAAAGTTTCCTGTTAGCTGGGTAAAACATAAAAATCTGTTGCTATTGTAATTGTATTTTCATTATTCATTTAATCTATGATTTACTAGTAATTACCTCACTAAACTGGTTTCTTTCAAATTATTACACAGCTCTCTGGAATCTTGATTCTGATAGTCACTGACAATTCTGAGGTGTATTATTCCCCGATAACAACCGGTAAAAGTACACATTAACATACAGATCTTCGCCTGTGTCTGGGAATTTACTAATTACCTCACTAAACTGTTTTTATTTCAAATTATTAAGGCTCTCTGGAATACTTGATTCTGATAGTCACTGACAATTCCGAGGTGTATTATTCCCCGATAACAACCGGTAAAACACAGGCTCATCCAGGTAGGCTACTACAAGTCATCTTTCGACTGTTAGTAATTATGCCTGTATCACTCCATTGTCACTGACCAAAATTTTGTGTCTAATTATTTACTTTTGTGGCAAACAAACAACCGGCTGCATATTATCCCAGTAACTTGATTCACAAACCCATTTGATTGCATACTTAAGTGAGCATGATCGATGGCCACAACATTTACATTAGATGACATGAAGCATCTATGCAAAAACTGAATCAAGAAACTCATCCCAGTGTGGAAATTTGGTTTCTGGTTTCTCCTGTCTTTTCTAGGTTACAAGACCACGTATATTGTAGCATCATTATTTTAGTGTAGTTCTTTCTATCCATACTCACCCATATGTTTGCTTTCTCACCAAACATCTTTTCCTTACAGTTGTCATGAACTTGATGAACATATTTCCCTGCCTCTCTTCTTTATTTTGTATAGTACAGTCAGAACACATGAAGTTTGGCTTACTGTATTTGTGCAGCTGTCATCACCTCAATAGTCAATTTCCTTGCCACAGAGCTTTAGCATGTAGTTTCATTAGCTATTCTCACAATGTTTCTTGTATAGATCCACACAGGCCCGGCTCCAGAATCAAATCACAGAGGGTGCTTCTTAAATTAGTGAGGGTGCTCTAACTATATATATATATATAACTATATATATACAGTATATGCTGTCAGACGATTAATCGTGTTTAATCGCATCCAAAATAAGTTTTTGTTTACGTAATATATATGACGATTCCGAGGTGTGTTATTTCCGATAACAACCGGTAAACTACACATTAACATACAGATCTTTGCCTGTGTCTGGGAATTTACTAATTACCTCACTAAACTGTTTTTCTTTCAAATTATTAAGGCTCTCTGGAATACTTGATTCTGCTAGTCACTGACGATTCCGAGGTGTGTTATTCCCCGATAACTATGGTAAAACACAGGCTCATCCAGGTAGGCTACTACGAGTCATCTTTCGACCGTTAATTATGCCTGTATCACTCCATTGTCGCTGATCAAAGTTTCGTGTCTAATTTACTTTTGTGGCAAGCAGCCGTGTAATAATCTGCAATAACAACCGGCTGCATATTATCCCAGCTAATATTTGTCGATCCGCTCATGAAACTAGCGCCACTTTACTACAAAGGCCCTTTCACACCAAGAACGATAACTATAAAGATAATGTAACAAATGTGGGGGATTATTCATTTTGATTGGCTTTGATCTTGCCTACATGAACTTTACACCGTGTCTACACCTGACGCAACAGTTGTCGTGTCGCGCCGCGCCGCAACAGCTAAAGTCTGTCTACACTGGAGCGACAAAGCAACTGTTGAAAATCATTTGAAATTTGTGTCAGTAAGTCATAAATAGAACGCAGCAGCAGTACTGTCGGGAATTTGTCGCGCCGCATCCAGTGTAGACAGCATAATAGGTTCTATTGTATTTTGTCGCGTTGCAGTGACACGGTGTTATGCAGCGCATTCTCTTTCCTATGGACTGAAGGATCACGATTTTGATTGTGCTGTGTGACCACTAGAGGCAGTGCAGTGTTGGAGTGCCACTGGTGTATCGCCGTTTGCTCTAGCAAAGACATACAGAGTTAATGTTTGTTGAATCTACTGTGATGTCTACTTAAATGATGCTCCTTTTCTAATAAATTGTCTTGTTACTTGAGAAGAACTGGTGGTATGACGTACCCTCTGTCCTCCATATAGGTCTGGTATAACCCCCTCTTAAATAAAAACGAGAGGTTTATTACAATAACTATAAAGATAAATATTAGCGTCCGCTATCGTCTGTTTATTCTCAGCGCATGCTCGTCTAAATTCGAGCTGGTGACCGCAGGATTGATTATGATTGGCTGTCAATATTTTTATCGTTCATCAGCTGGAAAAAAAAAAGTTCTGAAAGTGATTCCAACAATATCGTTTCTCTGTGCTTTTATCGTTATAGTTGTGGTGTGGACTCTGCTATTCTTTAATATTGAGAACGATTTTTACACCTAGCCTATGTCTTTATCGTTATCTTTATAGTTATCATTCCTGGTGTGAACGGGCCAACGATAACTGTAAAGATAACGATAGCGTCCACATCAATTGTTCTGTTTATTGTACGCGCTGCAGTAAAGTCTACACTATCATTCACAGTTGAGAAAGTGTTTCCAGCGATGTCGTTTCTCTGTCCTTAGTGGTGGCACTGGCACTCTCTTGAATTGATCGTAATTAGCCTAATGGCCCTTAATTTACACCACAGACTTTCGTTCTCGAATGGGATCTAATGGGACCTAGATATTAGGCCTATTGTTTTTCATAGATACATTAAAACACAAACTGCTTTCCCTTTCCTGTCCTGTTCTCTCACATTACTCCCGTCATTTTTTCTCTCCTCCTCTTATTTTCCCACCTGTGCTGCTGCATATCGAGTTCCAGCCCCCTCCTTTACCTGGAGCGAATTTGCACAAATTCCCCAGCCGCGCATTTGAGAGGGAGGAGATCGGGAGAGGGAGGAGATAGAGCAGGAAAGAATGAGGTTTGAGAGGAGTTTATCCTTAAACACAACATCCAGAGGTAAACAGAAGCGCGAGAAAGAGAGACGGGATTCAACAAATGCGCTAACATATCCATGAAGCTCAAGGGTTGGTTGGCGCGAGGAACACCTGGAACTGTGATTTACCTGGATGAGACGCTGGGGAGAAGAGCGCGGAGAGTGAGCCCTTTGGGATCTGCTAGCAAGGAACAAAAACCAGTAAGCAGGTGAAGTGGTTTGTAGGTGAAACTCCCAAGTGTTCACAGTTTAGCACTTTGTTTTATTAATCTAACATGGCACTGAGTGTTACTGTATCTCTTTCTCTGGATGGAATGTGTCGTTCCCAAGCACCGGAATAGGACAGGTGATGCTAATATAGATATTCCTCAGCGTTCACATGCTTTTGTTTATATTTCATCGTGTGCATTTACGATGTCATCCAGAAAAAAGCGCTGTGGTTTAATTTTCTTAATGCACCAGGTAATAGTTCTGTAAAAATATATTAATTTATTCATAAATGTATTTATGTCGCATGCCATTTGATTAATACTTTTTAAATATTTTAATTTATATTTATAAACAACTATATAGTCTTATTTTATTCATATCATTGGTGTATTTTGTTCTTTTAAAAATACAATTAAATTATATATTATGACATTTACATATGTTATAATATATAATCTGCTAGTTGCGAAGACTCTCACTGTCTATTTGTTTCAGGTCAACATGGTAACAGTATAATGAATGACAGATTTCATGCAAGTGCTTCAAGACTGGTCACTGCCAAGTGACCTCTGTTAATATGGGTTTCATCCTTCATTTCCAGAACAGACTGTCTCTGTGCATTACTCCATCATGGCCGACAGCAAGACAGAAAGAGGTTTGTATTACTGACATGCTTTTATCTTTCAAGCAGCATACTGTATATTTAATTATTTCATTAAATTCATATCCCTTATATGCAGTGATCCAGCGGGTCCAAAGCAAATTTAACCAAAATCTGGTATATAATTTATGATGTATATAATTTATAATGGCATAATTATAAATATATATATATATATATATATATATATATATATACACACAAACAAACATACATACATACACACGCATGCGCACACACTTAAATTACATTTTTCTTGCCAAATGTTAACAGTTATGTTAGGCCAACATCTGAGTATTTCTTCAAAACTTTTTTTTTTTGTATTTTTGGAAGCTGATTTGAAGTCTTCATTTTGTATCAGCTTGAAAATATATCTTTTTTTTTTTCAGTGTTCCAATGCTTGTTTTGTTTGCTTGTTTTTCCCTGAAAAGTCTTTGTATTTGTCTTTATAGAATGTTGCTGTTATGAAATGTGGAAAAAATGACAATTTATTCCACACAGCAATTTTGAGTGTTTGGACTTAATGTCATTAACAATATGATGCTATAGTGTCCATAATTCACACATCGCATGCTAAAGTAATTACAGTAGGAATAACAATCTGTAAACCACTCCAGAAAATTGTGTTAAATGTTTGTATAATACAAGCATTTAATCAACATAAAATAAAAAAATTAAACATAATATTAAACATAAAATTAAATGTTTTTCATATTTCTCACTATTTAGTGTAAAACATGTCTAATTAGGGCATTAAACATGCATTATTAATTATTTAATTAATCTAATGAACGTATTTTTTCATGCAAATAATTACAAACAAAATTATTTATTTTTAAAATATAAAAAATATATATATATTGCCTTTTGAAATTTTCTTTCCTTATACAAATGCTCATTTTAGATGAAAATTTCAGATGGCACTTAGAGGCTTTTGCATCTGAACTCTTCATATATATATATATTCATTTATTCATTTATTTAGCAATACATTTATTTGTGAAGTTTTCCATCTCAAGGCTGAAGATGAACTAGATTTGGGTGTGTGTGTTTAGTACTGGCAGAAAAAAAGCAGTAATATTTCAGGCACACAATTTAAAAACATGTTGGGTGGAATTGTCTCTTATGATAAGATGTGGCTCAGAATTTTCATTCTTGTAAAATGATACATTTCTAACTCTGAAAGTTTTGGATGACATGATGTTCTATTATCTTTTCTCAGGACTCAAATGGGAGGTTCGTGCCAACGAGCGTTATTTTCATCGGTCCTGTCGCCGCAAGTCTTTCCTGTGTTTCCGCTGGGGGCGTTATGCTGTACGTGAGAAACGTTTTGATTCATATTGTCTGGAGAGAAGTAGTTATGGAAGCATTAAACAACATTTGATACCTTTGGGCTGCCACACATATGTTGATGTTTCCAGTGGTGTGACAGCAAGTACCCAGTTTTATTCGTTAGTTTAACACTTTCCTAATGGGTTTTGTTTCCAGGACAATGTGGTGCGGAGCTACAAATACACCCCTCTGACATTTTTGCCCCTTAACCTGTATGAACAGTTCCAGCGAACGGCGAATCTTTTCTTCCTACTTATTGTGGTCTTGCAGGTTTGTGGGTTTTATTTCGCATTTCTGTGGCAGAAAGATTCACGATGCTAATTCACGTTTAAATGCCAAACCCAGTTATTTGACTAGCACATTTTTCCTACGAATACTGAACTAGAATGGCCACCTTGAACTCATGATGAATGAAGCATGCTCTTTTGCAAATAGTGAGTCAAAAACACCTGCTGTTTGAAAAAGACTTTTACATAGACATGGCTAAAAACACCCTCTTACAATAAATAAGATAAATGAGAAATCATAAAAACATCAGTTAGATTGTATAGGGTAAATATTTGAGTTTCAATTCATAAATCTTGGGAGTACTTAACTTATTATTGGCAATGCTATGGTTTATTCTTGACCCCATTTGAGTCTGTACTGGAAATGGCATAATAAATTGGCTCTATAGGACACGTTATATCTTCAATTTTCCAGTATAATCTGGCCATTTTGTGTAAATGTGCTCATATTTTTATGTTTCAAATATGCAAATGCTTGTAGGCTATAAAGTATATTTTATAAAGATCTTAAGCTGTGTGATCATATATATATATGAAAAGATCCACAGTTCTTCATTGAGTTGATTGGAAATTGTGCAGAATGTTAAATATTTTTTATTTATTTTACATCATTTTGTTTCTTTGTTTTAAAGTTTTCAAACTATTCACCCAATATACTGTTGGGTGATTTCCAACTTGATATAAATAATATCATAGTAATTGATTAATATTTATTAATTTATTATTTATAATAATCCAGTATAAGTGTATTAAATTACATATAATTTATTAATAATAATATTCTGAAATAAATTTGTGAATGTGTGAATATTAAC